AAAAATTGTGCACCTATGGATGAGGACAGTGGGGGGGGTAAGGGCAGAGGGTGGGGTGGGAACTGGGTGGAGGGGAGTTATGGGGGGAAAGAAAGAGGAACAAATGTAATAATCGGAACAATAAAGATTTAATAAAATAAAAAAAATAAATAAAAAAAGAAGTCAAATTAAGGAGTCACATTTATTGCAAATCCGGGACTATGAGGGGGCATTTTGCTCTCTAAAATCTCGTAGTAATTACCTAGCCCCAACATCAGATTTATATAGGCAAAAATCACAAAGGTATTGATTACATCTCAGGGTTTGGAATGAGGAACCTGGTTTGCAAAAAAGCAGTTTACAGAAGCAGAATTGAGCAAGTTAGTTAAATTATAGTTTTGGGTCTCCAGATCACTGATCAATGGAAACACATTGCCTGGAACCATGGGTCTTGGGACCACTGAGTCAAGAGAAACACATTATTTGGAGCCACTGAGGCAATTGTGTTGTCCTGGTTCCCAGGTACAGAAGAATGTACTTTCTAAAACCAGTAAGATCACAATCAGTGGGGTATTCAAACCACCAACAATGGCGCATTCAATCGATTGGGATAGCAAACATAAGTTCAGAAAACCAAAGTAACTTTTCTATTGTTAAACAAAGCAAATAAGTACAGAAGCCAAACATCAGGGTTAAAGTTAAACTACAATTTCTACCTGAGATGATTGCTACCAAATTTTAAAAGGTCTCCTGTACAAAGCCAGTTCATAAGAGAAGGCTGTATTTTCAAAGTACAAATTCCCAACAAAAAATCAGGCACACAAAGAAAAAGGGAGATGTGGCCCAATCAAGGGACAAAATAAACATACAGAAACTGACCCTCAAGGAAGAGAGATCTGTGTCCTGGCTAGTGTTTCTCAGTGGTTAGAGCATCAGCCCCGACACTGAAGGGCATTGGATTTGATTCCTGATCAAGGGTAGTACCTGGGTTGTAGATTCATTCCCAGGCCCCAGTTGGGGCACATGCAGGAGGCAACCAATTGATGTGTCTCTCTCACACTGATGTTTCAATGTCCCTCCCTCCCTCTCTCTTTTCTCTCCCCTCTCTCCCTCACTTCCACTTTATCTAAAAGCAATGGAAAAATATCCTCAGGTAAGGATTAATAACAACAACAAAAGAAATAGAGACATGTGAATTACCTGACAAATAATAGAGATATGTGAATTACCTGACAAATAATTTTATAAAAATAATTATATTTATAAAGCTCAGTGCACTACAAGAGAACACAGATAAACAACTAACTGAAATTTTAAAAAATAAATCATGAGTGAAATGGGAATATAAACAAAGAGAAACTATGAAAAGTCTGAAGCACAAGAAAACAATAATTGAATTGAAAAATTTACTAGAAGGGATCAACTTCAGACTTAATCAGAAGAAAGAATCAGTGAACTAGAAAATAGCTAATATAAAATTAGTCAGAAGAAAAAAGGAAAAAAAGGATGAAAAATGTTATGTCTGATAAGGGGTTAATATCAAAAGTATGTGAAGAATGCATAGAATTCAACATTTAAAAAATCCAATTAAAAAATGGGCAGAACCCTGACTGGTTTGGCTCAGTGGATAGCACATTGGCCTGAGGACTCAAGGGTCCCAGGTTCAATTCTGGTCAAGGGCATGTACCTTGGTTGTGGGCACATACCCAGTGGGGAGTGTGCAGGAGGCAGCTGATCGATGTTTCTCTCTCATCAATATTTCTAACTCTCTATCCCTCTCCCTTCTCTCTGTAACAAAAAAATCAATAAAATATATTTCAAAAAAATGGGCAGAGGATCCAAATAGACATTTCTCTAGAGAGGACTTATAGATGGCCAACAGACACATGAAAAGATGCTCAGCATTACTAATCATCAGATAAATGTAACTCCAAACTACAGTGAGATATCACCTCATATTGAGATATTGAGAAAAGGGAACCCTTGTGTACTTTTTGATGGGAATTAAATTAGTGAGCTAATATGGACAACAGGATGTAGATTCTTCAGAAAATTAAAGCTAGAATTACCATATGGTCCTGGAATTCCACTTCTGGGTATTTATCCAAAGAAAATGAAAACAATGTGAAAAGATATATAGCACTCCCATGGTCACTGAAGGATGGAGCCTGCAACCCAGGTATATGTCCTTGACCGGGAATCGAACCCATGACCCTTCAGTCCTTGGGCTGACGCTCTATCCACTGAGCAAAACCAGTCAGGGCTGGAGAATATTATCTTAAGTGAAATAAGTCAGAGAAAGACAGATACCATATGACTTCATTTATATGAGGAGTCTGAAGGTTGTTCCTAGATGCTCTTTAGCAGGATAGAGAAGTTCCTGTTTCTAGTTTGTTGAGGGGTGTGTGTTTTGTTTTCATGAATGAATGGTAATTTTTGTCAAATGCTTTTTCTGCATTTATTGAAATGATCATGTGTTTTTTCTTTTTTAATCTTTTAATATCATGAATTACAATATGATTTTTTTTTAATGTTTCACTGGCTTTGTGTTCCTGGGAAAAATCCTACCTAGTTATGATGTATGATCCTTTCTATTTATTCCTTCACTTGGTTTGCTAATATTTTGTTGACAGTTTTTATGCCCATGCTTGAGGAATATTAATTTGTAATTTTCTTGTAGTATTTTTTCCTGGTTTTGGTATCAGGATAAAACTGACCTCATAAAATGTGTTGGGAAGTATTTTATCCTATTTTATTTTCTTGGTAAGTTCTTATACAATTGCTATTATTAGCATATAATGATAAAAATCTAGTTAGGTTTAAGAATTTGATTTTTATAATTTGAAACTTTAATTTCACCATGATATTCATTTCAAAATTATTTTAACATAATCAAAATTGCCCCAACTATCTCTTTTTATTGATTGTAAACAATTTTATATTAAAAAAATATTTTTTCCCACAGATCCATTTTCATTGCTCTCTTATTACACAAAAATCTTCTTAGAGTAAAATCTAAGTAATTATTGTTCTTTCTTCAATTTAAATTTTAATGTATTGTTTTAAATGTAAACCATTTTCTTGAGCTTATAAATTATTTAGTGTACTCTAGTTTTCATTGGAACAGTATTTTTAATTGAATTTTAACAGCAACTCAAGTTTTATACTTTTAAATAAATAAAAAATGATTATTTTTATTTAATATACTTTAATTAATGCTAATTTATTTTTCACCTAGTCATGCAGATGGATCAATAAAATTTTGGGATGCTTCTGCAAGTAAGTTTTAAATTTTTTTCCCCTCTATAACAGGAAGCACTTGGTTAATATGTACTCATTGATTATTTGAATAATATTTCAGATACATTTTTAGCATGAATACATAGTTGTGTTACAAAAACTTATTTCCTATATTATTAGGTCAGTTTACCAGTAGAGTATCTCTACTGTGCTTTACTTCCATAATATAAACAAACAGCACCAAAGTCACTAATTATCACCAACCATCCTATATAATAAAAGCCTAATATGCAAGTCAACCAAAGGGCAGACAACCAGTAGGTGGGGGGCGGGCCTGGCAAGCAAGCAGCACCAGGCCAGCCAAGGCGGGTGCCAGTAGGCAGAGGGAGGGGACTTTGATTGGGGGAGGTGGCGACCACTGATCACCTCCCACAGAGGGAGGCCAGACTGCAGCTTAGGCCCCCTTCCCATAGGAAGCCATCAATCAGACATCCTCTGAGGGCTCCTGGACTGCTAGAGGGTGCAGGCCAGGCTGAGGGATCCCCCGCTCGAGTGCACAAATTTTCGTGCACCAGGCCTCTAGTTATATTTATAAAAGGCAAACTACATTGGAAAATGTACCAAACTTTGTCAGATGAATTCTGTTCAAGGAATAGCCTTCACCTCCTAACTCTGGTTTGGAAAAGTGTTTTTATCCCACTAGTCTTCACTTTTCTTTTTAGTTATTGTTGAAAGTATTACATATGAGTCTTCACTTTATCTCTTGTTTACCAAGTCCTGTGAAAATAAAAATAAATTACTTGGTAAATGTAAAAAAAGTTTTTTAATTTGAGAAGTACATAATTTAAAAGAAATAAGGTACTCTGCTCAACTGATGGGCATGTACATAAAGAAAGATATTTAAGACTTTATTATAGCATACATGCCTTTCAGAAAATGTAATCACTACAACAGATAAATGCACATATGTAACTATAGGGCAAACAACATAGAACCTGAAAGGTAGTACAACCGCAATTTGTTATAAAAAATGGGAGGTTTATTTGAGCCAGGTTGATCAAGGAAAGGTATTTTGATGGAGTAACTTTTAACAGAGTTTTGGAAGATTGTTAAGATTTTGATAGTCAGGAATAGGAGAGTCTGAAGATGAGAAACCAGCAAGATGTAGGTAACTATTTTAGAAATAAGGAATACAAGAGAGTTGTAGAAGGCTTCTGGACAGCGAGAGGGTGCAGGCCAGGCTGAGGCACCCTGAGTGCATGAATTTTGTGCATTGGGTCTCTAGTTAATTATAAAAACAAATCTCCAATTTCATGGATGTCATTGAAGAAATATCACTTAGTTTGCCAATTTTGTATAATACTGTCTAGTACAGGAAGTAAGGTTGTACTGCATTTGAATAATTGTTTATGTTATTGTCTGTATTAGTTTTCAACTGCTGAGTAATAAAATTACCATACATAATTTAGAATTTTTTGGTATATAGTATATGTTAAATACATACTTATTTTTTCCCTGTAGTTTCCCTTCAGCTAAACTATACTGATAAGAGAGCATGACATTGAATACTTACTAATTAAAACTTAATTTATTTTGTCTATTTGCATTTTACTTTTGTTATTTAACAAATGTATTGAAAAAAACTTCAGCATTTAAGTATGGCAATTTTATTACCCTTTTCTAACACTGAGCCCTTCAGAAAAGATTCTTTCTAAAATAATCACAAATTATTGGATTTCCAGTATTGCTGGCTGGTATATTACAAAGTTTCTCATCTGAAGGAGTGTCTAAAGCAGTAATGGTGAACCTTTAGAGCTCGGCGTGTCAGCATTTTGAAAAACCCTAACTTAACTCTGGTGCCGTGTCACATATAGAAATTTTTTGATATTTGCAACCATAGTAAAACTAAGACTTATATTTTTGATACTTAATTTATATATTTAAATGCCATTTAACAAAGATAAATCAACCAAAAAAATGAGTTCCCGTGTCACCTCTGACACACGTGTCATAGGTTCGCCGTCACTGGTAAAGAGTTGCTGAGAGGTGTAAAACCTCTAAGAATAGCACCAGCCTCTCATCAAAGGGGAAAATTGAAAAAAGAATTGAGGGGGGATCTCCCTTAGGATAATTAGATTTGGTATTTCCATTGTAAACTTTCTGAACTCTGACATTTTTGTCAAATAAATGAGGATAAAAATACTCACTTAATGGGAGGATAACATGACCCAATGCATACAAAGGACCTACATATTTGTTGGTATATAGTATATGTTCAATACATGCTTATTTTTTCCCTGTAGTTTCCCTTCAGCTAAACTGTACTGATAAGAGAGCATGACATTGAATACTTACTAGTTAAAACTTAATTTATTTTGTCTATTTGCATTTTACTTTTGTTATTTAACAAATACATTGAAAAAAACTTCAACAACATTTAAGAATTAAGTTTAAATTAGAAGGTAATTATGCTTCAATATCTTACAGTAACTCTACAGATGCTGTACAAGCTAAAAACTTCAAAAGTGTTTGAAAAACAGAAAATAGGAGATGGAAAACAAACATGTGAAATTGTAGAAGAAGATCCATATGCCATTCAGATGATTTACTGGTGTCCAGAGAGCAGAATATTCTGTGTTTCAGGAGTCTCTGCATATGTAATAATTTATAAATTCAGCAGACATGAAATTACAACAGAAATAGTGGTAAGTCATTGAAAATTTAACTTTCACACTTAATTAAAAGAAAGAAATTATCATAGATTTTGGTTAGTAATTGGTATGGTTTTAAGCCACTAAGACTGCAGTATGTGGCCAATAATCCAATTCATAGGATTTTTAATTATTCATTTCGCATAGTATGTTTTAAAAGTTTGGCTTAAGCCGAAACCGGTTTGCCTTAGTGGATAGAGCGTCGGCCTGCGGACTGAAGGGTCCCAGGTTCGATTCCGGTCAAGGGCATGTACCTGGGTTGCGGGCACATCCCCAGTAGGAGATGTGCAGGAGGCAGCTAATCGATGTTTCTCTGTCATCGATGTTTCTAGCTCTCTATCTCTCTCCCTTTCTCTCTGTAAAAAATCAATAAAATATATTTTTTTTAAAAAAAGTTTGGCTTAAAATGACGAAAACAATTCTTTATAAAATCCTGGTATTATTAAATAGGATGAATTATGCCTATAGGTTTTATGCAAATTGTTACTGATTTTATGTATGTCAAATGAATGCATTCTATACCTTTAATTTTTTTAAAGTTTACTTGTCCTTTTTCTCAATTGATTATGATTTGGAATTAGAGCTTTCACTAGAGGTTTTTTTTATAGTTTTAAGATAATTATGACAATCATTTTGCAGTATTCACCATGACATAATGACATTTGTGTAAACAGTTATTTTCATTCTCAAAAATGCTGATTTTTACATGGTAAAAAATGTTAGTTATAAAATCAATTTTAATAAAGCATTAAATGCAATAATAAAGTACTTAATCTTAAAACATTTTAATTTTAAAAAGTTTTGGATCATATTTTTATTTTAATATAAATTATCATGATTTTCATTAAGCAACTCTGACCATGCTAATGAAATTAAATAAGGAAGAGCAAAGCTAATGAAACAAACAAATAGAAAAATGGAATTTATTTTGGAAAATTTTTATTGAGTTAAAATAAAAATTGAAGGAAGCTTTTTTAAAGTAAAAACCTTGTACAAATAACAATTTGTAAACACATATCTACACACATCCAATTTATTCTTTTTCTCTGGTGTAAAAATGAATTTTTACATTTATTTGATCATATAGAGAATTGTAATTTATACTTTATCTTAAGGAATATTTATTATATAAAAATGTATCTCCACTCATGTATTTTTCTTACAATTCTGAAGAATTTAAAAGTGTTTTAAATTTTTTGTGGATGCCATTTATTTCATATAATTTACTGTTTAACTCAGTTTGGAATATCTCAGCTTTACTATAAGTTGAAATTAAACTTATCAATCAGAAAAAATAATGGATGCTTACCAAAAATTATAGATATTTTAATGTGATTATTTATTATCATGACTTAAATTAATTTAAACTTGTTTTTTTAAAAGTCATTAGAGGTACGACTTCAGTATGATGTTGAAGATATTATTACCCCGGAACCAGAAACAAGTCCTCCATTTCCAGATCTTTCATCTCAGCTTCCTTCTTCAAGGAGTCTTTCCGGGAGCACTAACACTGTGGCTAGTGAAGGAGTAACAAAGGACAGTATCCCATGTCTCAAGTAAGAGTTGGTACCAAATTTTAAAACAATTTTACATATGAATCATATAATTATTTAAAACTGTGCCAAATAAAATCATTCTTCTATTAAGTTGTTCTCAAGTGATCTACAGTCCCCATAGGATAGTCTGGTCTTGTCTTTGAATATCCCTGAAGAGGACATAGTATTTTCATCCTTCACTTACTAGTACATATATTTCCTTCCCAGAAGGACCCTAAAGAAAACATGGTTTTGATAGAATGGGAAAACCTTCATCAGGGCACAAACATGGCCCTGAAAAGTATGTCACAGGAAGGGAAAGAAACCAAATTTATAACCTACTATAAGAATACTGTGTTAGAAAAAAGATTTTCTCTCTTGTGATTGGTAGAATACTATATGTCTTTCTCTTTTCTAACTGATGCTATTTGGCAGTAAACTATGTTTTCTCAGTATATCTAAACAAAGTTTAGTGTCATAATCAAAGAAAACTCAGGTAGTCAAGCCCATAGAAATATTTATTTTAATTGCTTTTATACTTTTTAGTAGTCAGATGTAAAAGAATGCAGTTTCCTTAAATTACTGCTCACTGCTTCTTCATTAAACCAAATGTTTTCTGCATTAGCTAATTGGAGAATTGAGCTAAGCAGAGTTTCTTTAAGCATCATATGAAGATATCTGAATCTGCTACTAAAGGAACTTTAGAGAACTAGCTTCCTCATCTATATATATAAAAGCCTAAGTGACTGTCTGACCATTGGACCATCTGACTGGTAGCTATGACGCACAATGACCACTAGGGGGCACTCAGCACAGGAGCTGCTGAGCTGTGGTGACTTGGCAGCTGTGGTTCATGGGTGACACACCCAGAACCAGAGAGGAGGGAGCCCAAATCTGGGGTGCATCACCTGAGAACTGCTCTCTCACAATCCGGGACCCCTTGGGGGATGTCAGATAGCCGGTTTTGGCCTGATCCCCGCAGGCCAGGCTGAGTGACCCCACCTGCCAGAGGGACCCTGTTCACTCCGCAGAAGCCGGCCCAGGTGTGGCGGCCAGGGAGGGACCACGGGAGGTTGGATCCAGGGCATGTCTTGCCGGTCCTGCCCCCCCACCCCCAGACACCTTCTAATTAATTACCTTTCAATGTGCATGAACCTGTGCATCAGGGCACTAGTTTCTTAGAAAAATACTTATGGAAAATTTAAAGATAAGATTTCAGAAGCAAAATCAGTTTACCATACAATCAGAAGTTTCTATACTTTTTTAATTATTGTTTTTCCTCCAAAATTTTTTCTTGTGAAGTACAAAAAGGAAGTATAAACAGGAATTACTGGAGGAAAAATCTACACAGAGGAAACATCATAAAATTTCAGCAAATAAAAAACATTCATAATATATTCAGTTTTCCCTTCATAGGACTTTGGTTCATTTATTTGATTTTTTTTTCATTTTCTATTAAAATGAAATCTGAAAAGAGAAGAAAAAACTCAACAAAGCTCAAGAAAGCAATGTAGACTGATTTGTTTATTAACTAACAAGACTCATCATTAAGTGTGGGTCCTCCAATGATTTAAGTACTTTTATATAAAATTTTAAAAAATTAAGGTAGGAATAAGAGCGAAAACAACAAAAATTTTGTAGTAAAGATGATGTAAGCATTAACAGTATTGAAGGATAATCAAGAGAACCAAAGTGAAAAAAAAAGTGCAGTCCTATATAATGTATATAAGGTCTTAGGAACCAGGCAGCAGAACTGATCTAAGAATATTGTTCTATGAATTACATTATATTACACATGGTTTTTTAGTTGCATATAATCTATGATAAAATATATGTTGGCATCTATCCCTAAATCACTTTTTCTTTGGTGGATTAGATTACCATATACATTAGCTGATAAATAAGCATTTGAACAAACAACACTTCATTTTTAACATTACAATTCTGATCAATATACACATATTTGTGCAATTCATTATTTTTAAATTTTTTTGCCTTTGTGCTTCCTAATATGTAAAATGGATAGTCATCCTAGGCCTCTCACTAAGAGGATGAAATTTAAATGAAAAGTAGATGAGAGAGTTGGCTGAAGAAACAAGGTGGAAGAGTGTTCCAGGCAAGTGGAACAGCTAGCAGTGGTCAGCAAACTCATTAGTCAACAGAGCCAAACATCAACAGTACGACGATTGAAATTTCTTTTGAGAGCCAAATTTTTTAAACTTAAACTATATAGGTAGGTAAATTGTTATTAACTTAATTAGGGTGCTCCTAAGGCTTAGAAAGAGCCACACTCAAGGGTCCAAAGAGCCGCATGTGGCTCACGAGCCGCAATTTGCCAACCACGGAGGTAGAGCAATGGCCTTATAGTGCCTGGCATATAAGCCAGTGTAGTTAGAACAAAGGGAACAATGTTAGCAGAGAGGGCAGTAGGAGATGAGGTCGGATAGGCAATAGAGAGCCATTGTAATGAACTTGGCTTTTATTCCTATAAAATGGGGAGTCATAGGGTTTTGAAGAGAGAAGTGACATGATCAGATGTAACTTGTAAATTAATCACTTTGATGGCTATGTTGAAAATCAATTTTGAGATGGAAGGTAAGAGTAGAAGTCAGGAGACCAGTAAGAAGGTTGTTTGTACCTAACTAGACTTAATGTTGAGGGCTTGCAGATTTAGCAATAAAAAATACAGAATGCCCATTTAAATATGAATTTCAAATAAACAGTGAACATTTTTTAGTTTCAGTATATCTCAAATATTGCATGGGACATACAGTAAAAAAAAAGCGCAAAACCTATTTATTGTTTTTTTGAAATTCAGGCTTTAATGGATATCCAGTATTTTTATTTGTCAACTGTAACTAGGGTAGTAGCAGTAGAGAAGTAAAAAGGGGTCATAGTCCAAATACATTTTTAAAGTAACACCATCAGCATTTAAAAATGGATTGGGATTGAGGTATGAGAGAAGGATATTAGTCAAGAGTGATTTTAAAGGTTGTTTTTTCTTTTTTAACTAAATAACTACAAGGATAGGAGTTGCTATCAACTGGAATAGAGAAGAGTGCAGGTGGAGCCAGTTTAGTAGGAAAGAGCAGGAATTAAGGTTTTGGGTATGTTGAAATCTTATGTTGAGTGGTAGATTATTGGTTATTCTTTTTTATTTTTATGCTTTATAACTTAAAATGTATAACAAATATTTCATAAGGAAAATCCTATATAATAAAAGGCTAATATGCAAATCGACTGAATGGCAGAATGACTGGTCGCTATGACGCACACTGACCACCAGGGGACAGACGCTCAAGGCAGGAGCAGCCCTCTGGTGGTCAGTGCGCTCAGCCAGAAGCCAGGCACACAGCTGGCGAGTGCAGTTGTAGTGGTGGGAGCCTCTCCCACCTCTGCGGTAGCGCTAAGGATGGCCAACTAACTGTCAGTCAGACATCCCCTGAGGGCTCCTGGGCTGCAAGAGGGTGCAGGCTGGGCTGAGGGACCCCTCAGAGTGCACAAAATTCATGCGCCAGGCCTCTAGTAAATAATAAAATAATTAAAAATACTATTCTCAGAAGAAAAAAAGGAAGTAATAAATACCAGTTGAAGTTGCAGACCTGACTGAACAGCTACTTAAAGAAAAAAAACTAACCAGTCACAGGTGACTTATATTTTGAGAAAGCTAGAAGATATTGTCCAGTTGCTTACTACCATTAATGCTGTTGTATATTTCTGTAGGAATATTCTATGTAAATTATGAAGATAAGCATGAACATACTTATTTAAACTGTATTAATAGAACTACCTTTTCTCTCTCTCTCTTTTTTTTTTCTAGTGTTAAGACACGGCCAGTGCGGATGCCACCAGGTTATCAAGCAGAACTTGTTATTCAGTTGGTGTGGGTGGATGGTGAACCCCCCCAACAGATTACTAGTCTTGCTGTATGCTCAGCATATGGAATGTGAGTAGCTAAACATTCTTTCTAATTTGTATTATTTATCTAATATGTTTGATATATTTAGATATTTCCTTTTAACTACTTAAGGGGAGTTCTAAATATGGAAAGAAAATCCTTACTTGGATTTTTCTTAGATAAAGCATGGTATAAGAAAAATAATAATCTATATATATATATAAAATCCGGTTGTTCTGGAACAGCAGAACAACCGGAACAACCGGTGGCTATGAGATGCACTGCAGCAGCCAACCAGTGTGATCTGGGTCCTGATCAGCCTGGCCAGCTCAGCCCCTGATCAGCCCCCAACACTCCTATTGGGCGGGGCCAGCTGGCCACCCACCCACCCACCACCAGCCCAGCCCAATGGGCCCAAAATTGGTGCCGGCCAGCCGGATACCACCCTGCATGAATTCGTGCACTGGGCCTCTAGTTTAAATATAAAATATGATTATTTGTGATGTCAAATTTGTGGTAGTATTTTCATTATTAATGTTGTTAGCAAGTTGTTAGGATGTTATTACACTTATACTTTTGTTTGTATACTTCTTTCTCTTGGATTTGTATGTATATCTTACTGCTTTTCTCCTTGTGTTTTTTATTTTTTTACTTTATTTTTATTTATATATTGTCTAAAGTTTTACATATGTCTCCTTTTTCCTCGATTGACACCCTCCCACCCCCAGCCATTCCCACCCCAGGCAAACCCTCACTGCCCCAGTGTTTGTGTCCATTGGTTATGCTAATATGCATGCATATAAATCCTTTGGTTGCTCTCTAACTGTCCCTTCCCCTGCCATTTGTCTCTGGATCTATTCTTGTTCATCAAATTATGTTGATCATTATATTCCACATATGATTGAGATCAGGTGATATTTCTCTTTCTCCAACTGGCTTATTTCACTTAGCATGATGCTCTCTAGTTCCATCCATGCTGTTGCAAATGGTAAAAGTTCCTTCTTTTTTATAGTGGCATAATATTCCTTTGTGTAGATGTACCACAGTTTTCTAATCTACTCATCTGCTGATGGGCATTTAGGTTGTTTCCAAATCTTAGCTATTGTAAATTGTGCTGCTATGAACATAGGGGAGTATATATCCTTTCTGATTGGTGTTTCTAGTTTACTATAGATCTACTTTTGAAATATGACATGTGAAACTAATCTTATGACATTGTATTAGTTGCATGA